TTTGCTCAATGCAATTCCTGATTCTTATAAGGAAGTTAAGAACGCCATTAAGTATGGTAGAGACATGTTGACACCTGAAATTCTCATAGATTCCCTTAGATGTAAAGAAATGAAAATTAAGGTTGAAAAACATGATAAGAGGAACAGTGAGGTACATATGATGCAGGGTAGAACTCAATTTAGGCAAAATAGTCATGATGGATATCAAACTAGTGGCGAGTCAAGTGGTAATGGATGGAAAAAGAAGAGCAAAGGTAGGTCTAGATCAAAATCTAAGACTAAGGCAAGAAAATACTATGGGTGTGAAAACATAGGGTATTTTATAAAATATTGTCATAAGGAGAAGGGTAAGCTAAAGGTTAAGGAGAGAGATGAGGTCAATGTGTTAGCATCTACCTCCGATATAAATGGTGGTGAGGTCTATATGATTACAAGTCCCGTTGCATACACCGCTGAATTAAATCTAACTGCTAATTCCCGCATATATGAGTGGATACTTGACTCTGGTGCATCTTTTCATGTGACGTCTGAAAAGAATTGGTTTTATAAGTTGCATGAATCTAATGTTGGGCATGTTGTGCTGTGTGATAACTTTGCCTATACTATTGCTAAAATTAGTAACATAAACGTAAAATTTGATATACTGTATGCAATGCTAATGCTATTGCAAGCGACGCCTCGTTGCTATATTCCCTGCGCACGGTCACTAGTGAATAAATGGGTAATCGATACTAGAGATATTTTTAGAGTTGTTAGGCAATTATTTGTCAAACAACCCCTCGGGCTAGATGTAACCCCAATTTTATTATCAATCGGCCTTGGTCATATGATTGATTAGTATATCGACACAATTATCGAGACAACCCAATCCACATTTTTGTGGACCGTTCGAAGCAACATATTGTTACTAGTGTTGCTCACGGTTCGTCCCATTTCCTTGGAGGGCTATGTTATTAATTTGAAGCCCATTATCTTTGAGTCGAGCCTATTCCCTGCGCACGGTCACTAGTGAATAAATGGGTAATCGATACTAGAGATATTTTTAGAGTTGTTAGGCAATTATTTGTCAAACAACCCCTCGAGCTAGATGTAACCCCGATTTTATTATCAATCGGCCTTGATCATATGATTGATTAGTATATCGACACAATTATCGAGACAACCCAATCCACATTTTTGTGGACCGTTCGAAGCAACATATTGTTACTAGTGTTGCTCACGGTTCGTCCCATTTCCTTGGAGGGCTATGTTATTAATTTGAAGCCCATTATCTTTGAGTCGAGCCTTGTTCGGTCCACTAAATAACCCTAACATAACTTACCTTGTTTGGTTATTTGCTTGGCTTATATTCTTGGCCTTCCTCTCAACCTCCATATGAAGAATGCCCAACCTCTCTATGTGACACTCTCCTCTCGCTTCCTTCTCTTCTCTGTGACCTTTGTGGTTTATTTCAGGTGGGCATATTATTATTCTTCATCTTGCCCAACTAATAGCAATCGGAAGTAGGGCGGTGTTGGTGGTGGTTTGGAGTTGTCTCAACCCGTTGGTGTCGCGATTTCTTGGTGAAACTGAGCCCGGGTTACCTTGGTGTTGACCGGAATTTGGCACTAAAAGAGAGATGAGGGCAACGTGAGTATAATTTTTAGGAAAAAGGGAGATTTGAGATTTGGGCGAAAATAATTTAGAGAGAGAAAGGACAAGATATTTTAGGATGAAAATTGTATATTTAATATTTAATTTTTAAATATGAAATATCTTATTTGAAATGTGAAACTCACACTGCCTAAAAATTATACTCACACCGCCCTCATCTCTCTAAAAATATCTCCGATGCCGATCAACCGCTTCCATAATCTCCGGCGTCAATCAACAGCTTCCATCGTCTTCGATGTCGATTACCCATTCATTCACTGGTGATAGTGTGCAAGGAGTACAGCAGCGAGACGTCACTTGCAATATAATCGACATTGCTGCACTTGCTGCGTGTAGCGTCGAGCGTAACGGTGCATCGTCGTATGCAGCTGGTGCGATCTATTTGTTTGGTGTAGTGTTGATGGCAGGCGATTATAGTGGTACAGTGGTGATGGTAGCGGGTTTTGAGGGTTTTTTTTCTTTTTTTTTTTTCGATTGTAGTATAATGGTGATGTTGGATTTGTTGAGGAGGAGGTGATGGTGGTTGTTAGTACCTGTAGTTGTGGCCGTGGTGTAGGTGGTGTCGTGGCGACGGCGTGCAATTATGTAGATGTGGTGGTGGAAATCGACTCACGATTGTGGATGGCATGGGTGATAGAAGCCTCGATTTTTTGGAAGTTTTTTGTTATTAAATCGATTTATTGTGCGGTAGTAGACAGTAATGGTGGCGACGGTTGTGGCAGGTGCTTTACAGTGATGGGGGCAGTGCACTGTTGGGATGTGCTTGTATTGTTACAGGTGGTGATGGTGGTTGGCAATGGCATTTGTTTGGTTTTGGTATATTGGAGTGGCAATGGTGGCGGTGGTTTGTTGGTGATTGGATGACGTTGCGACAATTTTTTGGTGTTTGGGCGACTATTGTGGTTTTGCGAGGTTTGGTGGTGGTAATGGTGATAGTGATGGTGGTTGTTGTGGCGACGGTGGTTGATGGGATGAGATGAGATTGTATGCTTGTGATAAATTATTTGGTCGATTGTAACTAATAATTGGTTATTTTGTAATATGTGACCTAAAATTATAACCGTGACTAATAATTGATTAAGTTGTAATCGAAAAAAATCGTTATCAATTAATCCAATAATTTGCAATGAATAAAAGAGTTGTGACCAATAAAAGTTTGGATTCTGTGATCGATAAATAATATGTAACCTATAAAATTTTTGATTTGTTACTAAAAAATAATTCGACCTATAAAATTTTTGATTTGTGATCGAAAAATAAGTTATGACCAATAATTTGATAAGTTGTGACTAAAAATTAATCAATGACTAATTAATTTTTTGATTTGTGATCGATAAACAAATTGAAACCTATAAAATTTTTGAATTGTGACTGTAAAATAATTTCTAATATAAATTTTCTAATTTGTGACCAAAAATAATAAGTGATTAATTAAATTGTTAATTCGTGACCATATTGAATAGATTTGTGACCTAAATATATTTAATTAATAAATAAATAAACTAATTAAATCATAAATAAATTTTAATAAAAATCTAATTTTTGAAGTTTGAAATTTATTTTCTTAATTTTGAAATGTGTGACACTTGACTATTTCCCAAAATAAAAATCACAAGGGTGGGCCCAATTACTAAACTGAATGGGCCAATTTATATACACAGGCCCTTTTAAAGCCTATTAATATTTGAGAAAAATTCAAAATTCAGATATATTATTTACACCCATTCAAAAATCATGTCGATAGTTTGAAAATTCAAAATTCAGGTATATATTTAATTAATTAAAAATATTTATAAATAAATATAATAAAGTCCTAGTTATACGATTGATGGTCACACATTAATAATTATAGGTCACATATTTATTTACTGGTCACATATCATCAAATTAATTAGACACATTATTTTGTGCTTACAAATCATAAATTTTGTAGGTCACAAATTTTTTTGAAATCATGGATCATTCAAATTACAGTCACAGTTTATCTATAAATCACAAATTTTCAAATTTATTGGTCACGAATTATTTTTTTTAGTCATAGATTATCGAATTTTAAGCTCACAGATTAATAATTAGTCCAAATAGTTGGTCACATGTACCAAACATACCCACCACCGATCCCAGTCCATCATCAATCTTGGTCACAAATTTCACACAACCACACAACCACTGCTTGCACCATACCACCGTAGCCCAAAATTGGCACCACAATCACCACCGCGATCGCATCGCCAAAGCTAGCACCACTACCACTTGCAAAACAAAAAACTAAAACTACTCTATAACCACCACAAAATCAAATTCACGGCAGCGCACAGCTCATCACATCCACAGCACATTCCCTCACCAAAATCGCATCCAACCACACCAGACAATGCACACCACCACACCGCATCCAACCACTATACACTAGCAGCGCCACCATGCCGCTAACACCATCGCACCTACAGCACACACACCCACCATCACCACATCCAACCACACTACCATCTAACAGCACAATCTCAGCACCACTACCACAGATCACAGCACACTTCAACCGCACCCAACAGCAGCACACAACTCGATTCACTTTCACCGATTCACCTTGGCAAACACGAACACTACCTACTAAATTCCCCCATTTCTTCCAGTCACCACCACCATGACTACCACACATCATTGTTGCCACCCCCACAACCGCCTGCTCAAACACCATCCACCACCTCCACCTGCAACTCTAATAACCACCGCATAACCACAACCACTGCCTGCTAAAGTCCACAATTTCTTCCATTGCCAGAACACCAATAGAAACCATCCAACCACAATCATACCATGGCACAGAGAATCCTTAAAACCACCGCACCAGCACACCAACTAGAAAAACATATGCAAAAAAGGAGGGGAGAGAGAGAGATAGAGAGACGACGAGCTTCGTGATGGGCCATCCCCACACCAACTCTAATCAATCGCACGTCGCTGCTTACGATGGTAAAGTACTGGAGCATCACGCACGGTGGTTGGTGGTCGGTTCTTCGCCTGTCGCTGACACACATAAGTTTCGTGAAGAGTCACCGGAGCTTCTTTCAGATCAACGCTTGTCGCCGCATCAAGTTCGTCCTGCACCCGACGCTAGTCACGACACTAGAATTTGTCTCGATCAGATTTAGCATAGTCAGTCCTGATAGAGAGAAGGTAGAGAGAATGGAGATAGAGTAGAGAGAGAATGGAATGAATTAGAGTTTGGAATTGAATTACTTGATTAATAAAATATCCAATTAATACCTGATTTTTGATTAAATAAACTTCATCCCTGTATTTTAAATTTTGAAACTTTAAATACCTGATTTATGTAATTTCCTCTTAATATTTCCTTAGGGATTATTCTTTCAGCAAAACGTTCTGGCGAAAAAGAAACCAATGGCTCTGCAACCGGCTTTCCGCTTTCTCCTCCGCCACTTGCCGGCCACCATCTCGTCTATCTTCCCCAAACTGTCAATCCCAGTGCACAGAAAACTCTCTATACTTAACTCTTCTTCACCCAAACCCATCAGTCCCTCACCTCAGATCACCTGGAGAGCTGCTAAAGGTGTTCGCTTAACTCCCATCTTCAGTTACTCTGCCCCNNCCCCCCCCCCCCTTTTCCCGCCCCCCCCCCCCCCCCCCACCCTTCCCTCAAAAAAAATATTTTAACTTTTGATCCATACATCTCACAACTTTCTTATATTTATTTGTGGAACACATTCACACACGGCGATACACAAGTTATGAATGTGAATTGCGAAATTTTATCATTTCCCTTTGTAGAAAACAAATTGGTATCCGACAAAGATGAGAGGTTCGGGAATGGGACAGTTAGCTCTGCTGAATCAGTAGTGAATTCCAGCACTATTGCAGCCATTGTGACTTCGCTTTGTGGACCACCTGCTGCGGTGGGCATAGTCCGGTTATCAGGCCCGTCTGCAGTGTCTATAGTCGGGCGTGTGTTTCGACCAGCTTCGAAAAAGAAGAGAAGAGGGCCTGACTGGAGTCCAGTTAGCCATGTTGTGGAGTATGGTGTAGTTGTGGATTCTCATGGGAATGTTATTGATGAGGTACTATAGCTGTGAATTTGGGTTATTTGTTGTGATTTTTTTTTCCCATCTATTACTATGAACTTTGTGGAGAGCAAAAATGGGACAAGGTAGAAATTTTATGCCCATTTTAAGGTTTTTGGTTATCTCTTGAAATTGTGTTATTTGGAGTTATGTACAGTTGGCGTATTTTTTATCTCAAAGGAAATTTTTTCAGAGCTAGAGCGGACTAAGAGGAATTCATTTCAGAAAAAATAAATTCTTTTGATGATTTATTTCTTTGAATAGTTTGCAAGAATGACAATTGAACTTCTCTTTATATCTCATGCTTTAGATTTTTTCACCAACTTCGTTTTTAAAAAAAGTGTTTTCTCTTTGTTAGCCTAATATATCTATGTTAATTAAACTCAGAGCATTCGTGAAGTTCTGTTATGAGGTCAATAAGGACAAATGTATAGAGGAAATGAGCATAATCCATTAAGTGTCATTTGGTGGTCTTGTTTAGAGAATGCTCCTAAGTAGAATGCAACTATAACTGTTGAATCTAATATGGTGTTCTTGTTTTGTTCTAGGTGTTGGTGGTTCCCATGTTGGGCCCAAAATCATACACTCGTGAAGATGTGGTTGAGCTTCAGTGTCATGGTAGTGAAGTATGCCTACATCGCGTTTTGAGGGCTTGTCTAGATGCTGGGGCAAGGATTGCAGAACCAGGTCTTCCATTTTTCTTTTATTGTTCTTTAAGTAGTATATGAAAACGGCATTATCTTACTTAGCTTCCTAGTTGACAGGAAAATCAATTTGGAGAGCAAACGTACCATGTCGACTAACATCCTATTTAAATCTCTGAGTGGTTGAATAATGCATAATTTCTTTTTATGGCCCCCCAACCATGTAAGAACTTTTATTATGGACTGAGATATGAGGCATCAAGGCTTCTATAACCCATTCAAGTCACAACTTCATGCAATAGGCGCAATAACTCTATCACCCTGTTGGAGGTTGATGGGATTACTTATGAGGATGCGCATGATATTGGGAATCAGATGGTGAGGTTCTATCAAAATCTCTATCGGTAAGAGTTTGACTGGAGACCAAAGGTGGATGGACTGTACTTTTCTACTATCACGGAGGAGGATGCTAGTTGGTTAGAGAGACCATTTGCAGAAGATGAAATCAAGAATGTGGTTTTCAATATGAATGAAGATAAGGCACCAAGACCAGATGGCTTCTCGTTCGCGTTTTATAAGACTTGTTGGGAGGTGGTGGGACCGGACATTATAGATGTTCTTACTTATTTTTTTGAGCACGGCAGGTTCCTGAAAAGTTCTAATGCCACATTTATTGTGCTGATTCCAAAGAAATCCGGAGCAGTTGACATCAAGGATCTTCGCCCTATTAGCTTAGTTAGTGGGGTGTACAAGATTATCGCGAAAATCCTGACGAATAAATTGAAGGAGGTGCTGGGGAAAGTGTTGACTAAGAGTCAGAATGCTTTTGTGAAAGGAAGACAGATTTTGGATTCTGTGCTTATATTGAATAAATGCATTGACTCTAGATTGCGTCTGGGGGTGCTAGGAATGTTATGTAAACTCGATATTCAGAAAGCTTATGATCATGTGAACTGGGGTTCCTTTTGTACATGCTCGGGCGATGTGGCTTTGGGGAAAAGTGGTGCAAGTGGATTCAATTTTGTATCTCCACCGTTTCATTCTCCGTTTTTGTCGAGGGCGACCCGGAGGGTCATTTTCGAAGTAGTAGAGGTTTGAGGCAAGGGGATCCCTTGTCTCCGTTGCTGTTTGTGATTGTTATGGAGGCAATTAGTAAGATACTTGAGAGAGCTGTGGAAGAAGGATTTCTAAGGGGCTTTACAGTTGGACACTTACAGGTTTCCTGTTTGCTATTTGCAGATGATACACCGATCCTTTGCAATGCAGATAATGAGCAATTCAGGAACTTGCGTCGACTACTCCTTTGTTTTGAAGCGGTGTCGGGATTGAAGATTAATTTAAGGAAATTCGAGGCCATTCCAGTGGGAGAGGTTGCTAACATGGATGAGTTGACCGATATATTGGGTTGTAGGGTTGCGCAGTTGCCCATGTCATACCTTGGGCTTCCTTTAGGGGCAAAGTTTAAAAGTAAACATATCTGGAATGGAATTGTCGAAAGGGTGGAGAAGAGGTTAGGGTGGAAACATATGTATCTCTCGAAGGGAGGTCGCCTTACTCTAATTAAATCTACTCAGTCTAATATCCCAATTTATTTCTTGTCACTTTTTCCTATCCCTAGTACAGTGGCAAACAGATTAGAGAGGATTCAAATGGAGTTTCTTTGGGCAGGGCTCGAGAAAGAGAGGAAATTTCATTTGGTTAATTGGGGTGGGGTTTGTTCCCCTATTAGGATGGGGAGCTTTGGAGTGAGGAGCCTTGATCTATTTAATAAGGCTTTATTGGGCAAGTGGTTGTGGCGATTTGGAGTGGAGAGGGAGAGTCTTTGGAGAGAAATCATAGGAGCGAAGTATGGTGTGATGGAGGGGGGTTAGTGCTCGATCGAGGGTCGTGAATCTTATGGGGGTGAGTTTGTGGAAGTATATCCGACGAGGATGGAATGACTTTCGAGAGAAATTAACTTATGTGATGGGGAATGTCAATAGTATCAGATTATGGGATGATTGTTGGTGTTGAGATCATCCGCTAAAGACATGGTTTCCTTCGTTGCATCGCATTGCCTTGGAGCCTTCCGCTATGGTGAATGATGTCCTTACCATACATAATGGAAATTATAGCTAGAATATTGCCTTTGAGAGGGGTTTGCACGATTGGGAACTAGATGATTATGCATTATTTTTTACTTCCTTGCACAAGGTGGATATTCAGGTGGGAGAGGGTGATAGGAACAGATGGAAGCTGGCACGGGATGGTATTTTCTCAGTTCGCACTTATTTTAGATTCATATTGGGATCGACAAAGAGTTCATTTCCTTGGAAGATGGTGTGGCAATGCAAACTGCCCCCACAGGTGGCTTTTTTGTTACGGACGGTTGTGAGGGGGTAGACATTAACGGTGGACAATCTTCCTAGAAAAGGTTTTTATGTTATCGAATGATGCTATATGCGCAAGAGAGATGAGGAAACGAATGACCATTTGTTCCTCCATTGTGAAGGTGTTAGGTGGTTGTGGAACACTATTCTAGCTTCCCAACATATGGATTGGGTGATGCCTAGGTGTATGGAGGACGTGTTGCGAGCATGAAGGAGAAAATTTCGAGATAAGGATAGTAGGCTTGTGTGGAATCTTATTCCGGGATGCATTGTATGGTGTGTATGGAGAGAAAGGAACAGCCGTTGTTTCGAAGACCAAGCAAGAACAACAGATCAAATTAGAGAATAGTTTTATATGATTTTGTATACTTGGTTTAAGGCTGCAGCCACTAATCATGTTGAAGGGTTGTCAAATTTTATGTCGTTTCTTTCTTGTTTAAATTGATAATATACCCCCCATGTATTATCCATGATTAATAAAATTACTTGATTACTTAAACAAAAAAATAAATAAATAAATAAAAAACAAAAAAAAACTTCACTCAACAGGCAATCTAGATAGCTTAGAATTTGTACTTTCTTCTAAATATGCCATCTCTTTGTGTCTAATTGTGTAATTGGAATTGAATTTGAAATATATATTTTTGTTTGTTTCATCTTACTTCAAATGGGCCTGCAAAAGGGATTTTTTCTATTTAATCCATGAATGCCACTTATATCATGGTCCCTGGTACAAAGGAATGGCTTGAAACAGATATAGTTCAAGAAGATTGGGTTCTGAAGAATTGAAAATCACTAGATGTAAAATTGAGATTAATTTATCCACTTTCATGCACCCCCATGTTATCGTGCAGATGCAATAAAATTGGAATATTATGTACTGAACATAATGGGTGGTTTTTTTCATTTGAATCTGTCAGGTGAGTTCACACTGCGCGCTTTTCTAAACGGTCGTTTAGATCTCTCCCAAGCTGAGAATGTGGGCAAGCTTATATCAGCTAAATCAGTGGCTGTAGCAGATTCAGCATTGGCAGGAATTCAGGTGACTTAATTGATATTTCAAATTTCATTGGCTTCCTATCCAGTATATTTTAAACAAATCAACCAATCTTTGGCAAACCCTTGTTTTTTCAAGTCAGCTTTTGCTTACATCGTGCAGGCATTCCTAAACTTATATTCCTCATGACAGGGAGGCTTCTCTTCTTTGGTGAAATCATTAAGAGCTCAGTGCATTAAGTTGCTTACAGAGATTGAAGCTCGTCTGGATTTTGATGATGAGATGCCTCCCCTCGAGTTGAACCCAGTTATAGATGAGATACGGGGGATGTTGCAAGAGGTGGATGATGCTTTGGAGACTGCCGATTATGACAAGCTTCTTCAATCTGGATTACAGGTACATTGTGCCACAGAATCTCAGATGTAGTTTACTTGCATATTGAAGGGAAATACATTGAAAGAATAAATTGTAGATCACACTATCTTTGGATATTGCCTCAGACTTCTCATTGACTTTTTATTTTATCCTTTCTGTATTGTAACCCTTTGATATCGTTCTTTTTGCTCAATTTTGCATATGAGGTTATATAAATTGTCGAAAGTCTACTGTAATCTACTTAAACTTTAAATTTAGCCCTTGTTTGAGCCCCATTTTTTGGGGTAGAATGAATTTTTGAATAGCGTATTGATGATAAATGTGTGGCTAAAAAATAAGGAAAATTTTTAGATTTACGTGTAATATTATTTTATTGAAGAATGTGTGGTTGAAATGATGTCAAAACACTGTTGAAAAATGAATTTTTCCAAAAGAATGAGGCTCAAACAAGGGCTTAATGTAGCAGAGAAATCATCATGCTACATTCTCATGTCTTTTCATCATGCTCTTCTGAAATATACTAACATTTTCTACTCAAATGTTTTCTAATTATTTTCCAAATTACCATCAGATAGCAATTGTTGGCCGACCAAATGTTGGGAAGTCGAGCCTGCTTAATGCTTGGAGCAAAGTATGGTTTGCTTAATTTTCTGGCACTGAATCTATGCTGTTATTATTATTATTGATGTCATTGTATATGATTATCCACTTTGGCATCTGAATCTTGTTAGTCTATGCTTGTATTCTCTACCTTGCGTGTTAATATATTTATATGTTTGCTTTCATGTGCCATTGTATCAACACGTATCCTTTGGGTATGCATTTCATACATAACCAATTACATAAATTCCTGATAGGTACCATCTACACTAAATCATAGCTTGTGACATGATTTAGATAACATGGGCATCTGAAGGCCCTTTTCTTCTCAATTAATTTAATTGAATGTTAATTTTACCTCATGACAGTTCATGAAATATCTCAAAAGCTGGTAATTTACATGTTTAATGTGATTAGGTAGTTTGCTTGTTTCCTCATCTTTTCTCTGGAACTCCATGCCGAATTTGGTAAATTTAATTTTCTTGAGTTGTTGTTTGCAAACAAATTCTTACATTTTAATATTTGTTTTTTTTTTGATTTTCTGGCCATTTTACCTATGCTGTTACGATGCATTTTAGCATAGAGTGAGAGGGCAATAGTCACAGAAATTGCTGGTACAACTCGTGATATAGTAGAAGCGAATATCTCTGTTCGTGGAATTCCTGTTACGCTCCTTGATACAGCGGGTATCAGGGATACTGATGACATAGTGGAGAAAATTGGTAAGATTTTCCAGTCTGACCATTTTGACTAACTGTTTGAAGCAAGATATTATGTTGCTCGTATTACATTCTGATGACCTGGCTGATAAAGTTTGTAATATTAGTTCATTTTATTACAAATAAAGTTGTCGAAATTTCTTATTTGTTTGACACGAAGAACTTATTTCCTGATTCCTACTATGATGATGTCATATCTAGGCATCTGGTGGTGAGAGTTAAGTATCATTGTCGTAATTGTGATTGTGATTCTATGTTTAAATTTCTCTTTAGCACTTTGCTATAACAATTAACCACTTACAATTTCTGATACTAATATCAGGATTGTTCAGATTATATATAGACTTTCAGTTGTTATCCAAAGCGCATGCAGATTATATATATGATCTTTTTTCTCAAATTGTTTCTAACTATTTTCTTCGCAGGTGTGGAAAGGTCTGAAGCAGTTGCTACAAGTGCTGATGTCATTCTCATGACAGTAAGTGCAACAGAGGGATGGACTTTGGAGGATGAAAAACTTCTTGAGAGGATTCAATGCAATAAGGTTTGTTAAGCCATTCTTAATATTGCTTGTTCCCCATTCGTAGTTGGTTCTTAATAAGTGAGAATTTTGGTGCCTTGCCTCGCACTTTTTAGTCCTTGATAATTATTTATACCCTTTTTCCCCCTTTGATGCATATTAAATATTGGAATCTCGGTTATTCTAGATCATTTGTGTGTTTTATTTGGTTTAATGAGGAAAAAAACCTAAGCAACTAAACATGTTTGATGATTTCTCATCAACTTCAGAGTGGATCTTCATCAACTCCAGGAGTTCTTGTGATCAATAAGATAGACTGTGCTCCATCTTCTTTGTGTGATTGGGTGAATACACTTTCCAGCTCTTTCAACAAGCATGTTTTTACCAGTGCTGTGAGTGGTCAAGGGATTCCAGATTTAGAGGCTGCAATAATAGAGCTCGCAGGCCTCAATAGGATCCCTACCGGGGGTCGCAAATGGACTGTGAACCAGGTTAGTGTATAATTTCATTTTCTTAAATTCACTTCATTCGAATCTCGTCATGTTTGAACATCCTTTACACGTAGCATTGTGGTTGAAGGTTCGTGTAAGGTTATCGTATTTTTTCACATTAGTTTTGAATTTTTCCCCATTATCAGAGACAGTGCGAGCAGCTGGTTCGAACAAGGGAAGCTTTCATAAGGTTGAAGTCATCAATTGAGGAAGAGATACCCCTCGATTTTTGGACGATTGACCTAAGAGAAGCTGCTTTGGCGCTCGGACAAATAAGTGGAGAGGATATTTCTGAAGAAGTATTGTCCAACATATTCGGTAAATTCTGCATTGGCAAATAGTTTCTTAATTATGCAAGTAAAACTGAAAATAATATATTTCACTACATGTCTGTTTGCAATTGCAAATGAATGACTATATTCTCTCTTTTCCTTTAAATCTGCTTTATCAATCAAAGACATAATATAGAATAAAGAACAACTATCTATAAAAATATCAAAAAATGTTAAGAGAGATGTAATTTTCAAGCATATTGGTTTGTTGCTCTCATTCTGGAAGCCCAACTCCCGTCCTTCTGGGATCTTCTACTCAATTTTGAAAGCTGAATTTCCCATTTATCTCTTGATGCTTCTCTACTTCTTTCCTCCCTGCATTTAGAATCTTGATCCAGCAAATTTTCATAAGCCTTGTGTAACTCGACAAAAACTCGAGTCGATTCTTCAGCCATCGAAGGATCACAGACATCGGGATGATAAAGTAGTGCCATTTTCCTGTAGGCTTTCTTGATTTCGTCCAGGCTTGCATTAACAGAGAGCTCTTTGTGAAAGTCTATAGCTGCCATTTTTACAGATGGCAAGGTTGTCTTGCAAGATACAGAGGCAACCCTGAATTTGAGATGCATAGGCAAGCTCTTAGAGTGGGAAAATGGCATAAATACAGTGCCACTCTTCAGTGTAGAGCTCTGAATTACATTCATTTCACTGAGAGATTTTGAAGAATATTGAGTTATTCGAAATTATTCGATAAACAAATCTATAACGGTGTGCTACACTTCTTGATCTATATATATATACTCCACTTGGTAATGCAGACAAATTTAAACGCGGTTTCTTTTCATGCATTTGTAGGAATTAGGAAAACATGAGGCTTATGGATTATCTGCAATTTGGTCCTTAATGTTTATTTTGTTCTATATTAATCTCTAAAGTTTCCTAACGATTTTAATTACACTGTTAGTAATATTTACATGAAATCTTATATGTACGCGATTAACACCACCATTAATTGCATTGCTAAACAAGCCTTACTTATGCTAAAAATGGGATGACGAAACAATGAAGCCGTTTCAATTGATTTAGGAGCTTGTTTGTCTCCCATTTTGGGAGAAAATAGTGTTGAATATTAGTTTTTGGAGAATGTGTGGTTGAAATTTAAATTATTTATTTATTTATTTGTGTGTAGAATATTTTATCGTATGATTGTGTGGTAAAGAATGTTGCTATAGCAAACAAATTTATTTTGTTGAAGGATGACAAGCAATGCCTTAAATTTAATTAATGGACCAAGAAGTGAAATCAAATTGGGAGAAAAATAGGGTTTTGATTTTTCCTTTTCTTCATTGCATATTTATCACTGTCAAAGTTTGCATGTCAATGGAACCAACGTCGAGCGTACGAGGAAAGACTTGCTTTTGGGAAAAGAATGGTGTGCTCTACGTAACAAAATGGCTTTCACAACAAAGTTTGCATGTCAATGGAACCGAAGTCGAACATACAAGGAAAGACTCGCTTTTGGGAAAAGAATGGTCTGCTGTACGTAACGAAATGGCTTTCACAACACAGACGTACTTTTCACCTTAATATAACTAACAACGTGATCAAATTGAAATCATTAAGAAACTTTATTAACTGATTTTGGAACAAAATAAACTTTAATGACTAACTTGGAATTTCACTACAACTTGAGGACTAAATGTTTGTCATTGGTTAATGGAACGCGGTCCGTTAGATCAGCCTTTTTTTTTTTTTTTTTTAATTATTATTATTATTATTCATCAAATTCAAAGAATGGAAGCTTTCTTGGATTATTAAGGTCACAATCGTTGGGAAGTCCAAAACCAGGGATTTGATATCATCGGACAGCTGTTTTTGACTGATATTACCAATGTTGTGTTAGTAGTTAGACTTGAATGGTATGATACTATTACTATGAAAACCCTAATAGGCTATTCAGAGGAGAAGAATAATTCCATAGGATCAATGACATATGTGCTGTGTTGGCAGCATCTGTATGGTGCAATTTCTATGTTTGTTGTGTCAAAAATCAATGAAAATCTACGAAGTGTTTCTCTGTAAAAATTCTGTCAGTTTTTTCTGTACTTGTAGCAAAACTGTTTAGAGAATAAGTTATGACAATTATTACGTGTTTTGTTTCGACTCTTCATATATGTAGTAATAATCGGAACAAGTCTGTCAATTTGAATGGAAAAGCTCAAAACTTGACCATTATAGGTAAATATCGTGTAAATAAAAATCAATAAAGCCTAGTCAACCAATAGGTTTAACTAAAGTCCTTTTATCGAGACATGTTTACCGTGATTGGATTTTAACACGTAGTTATATTGGATGAAGATTTAAATCTCAATTTAGCTAGAAAAGAATTAAAAAAATTGATATTTTAGATATTTGGATAATTTTTTAAAAGTATTTTATTTGACTAGAAAAACGTTCTTTGAAAAACTCTTCTACAAAGAACAGAATCACAAACACAAGTTCAGTCAAACGGGCCATTTACGAGTAAAAACTCTGTACACAGGGGCAATATTTAGGCCTCGAGTCTTGGGGCCAGAATTTAGGAATCTAGCAGGGGCCTACCAAGTTTTGTTTAGCCTTCTAACTCGGCTTCTTGTCTCGGTTTCAGTGTCGTGATTTCAACTTTCATCACCATATATTTACTTGCTGGGCGCCTTCCCCTTAGGCCTTAGGTGCTACGCCATTTTGGAGTAGGATTGAACAACGAAATCATCAAATCGTAAAATCGAACTGAAGGTTTATTTCCACGTGGATCCGTCAACCTTTAGATTTTAAACCGAACCAAACCACTTCGAAAGTGGTTTGATTTAGGTTTCAATATTTGCAAACCGTTTCAAACTGTCAAATCGTTTACCAAAAAAATAATAATTTGAAAATAAATTAGTTTAAATTTTATTTAACCCAATTAAAATTTAACACATTTCAGTTAAAAAGATACATCCATATTAGACATAATTTAATTAAACTCAATTTGACAATTTTACATATCAATTAATTAATTAAATAATATCCAAATACCCATTAGTCAGCACAACCATGAATATAAAATCATTAAATTGGGTAAAATTTTGAACAATTGCACCTAAACTATATCCATCGATTCTCCATTACAATTGAGTAGACAATTAAATCTATATTTGAATTCAAACTTGCACATTCCATTTCATTCTACTAATAATTTTCTTAAATTTTGCCTAAATTCAAGTCAAATTATCTAAATTCTTTTATTTTTTAGTAATCTTTTTCTATATTTTTATTGGTAATCACGTTGTTTTGTTCTAATAATTACCGGGCTCCCTTAATGTAATTCGCTAATATTTGGATGGAGTAGAAGCATTGAATGATTTACAAAAAGTCACAATATCTAGGTATTCTCGTATTTTATTTTTTTATTCATTTTATATTATTAGTTATTTTATATCATTTAATTATAATCAATAAATTCATGTACTGTTTTTTTATTTATGAAGAGAATGAATCATTTAAAATATTTATATCATGTTGTTGCATTATATTGATTATAATTATATAATTTTGATTTGTAATTTTTTTTTAATAATACAACTTATGTTTTAACGTGAAATTTTAGACTAATATTTACGATTTAACTTAATTGACATGTATTAATTTTTTAATTGTTAAACCATGGTTTTAAATCGAGCCAAATCAAAAAAGAAAAAGGTTTGGATTGATTTGATTTAGAAATTGAAGTGGTTTGATTTGGTTTTGAATTTTTCCAAACAGTTTAAAATGGTTTGGTTTGAAAATTTCTCTCAAACCGTCCAAATTGAATCATGTTCACCCCTATTTTGAAAGTATACTATTTAATTATATTTAAGAAGATTCTCTAACTTTGTCGTGCCATCAAACAATTCGAATTATCTCCACTTTTTTATAATAGGTCCGAGTCAAATAGCAAGTGCAAACAATGTAATCCACGTTAGATAGCGAACAGTTAATCCTGTCTTTCTTTGATAAATCAAAATTTCGATAAACAGAACGCTGGAAAATAGTATCCCCAAGCCAGATAATGGTCTTTTCTTAAGGCATAAAATGAAAAAAGAACTAAACCAAATGCCACCAAGGGCCGGCAAGGACGGCAGCAGTGACAACAAGAGGCAACAGGCTCCGGCTAATTATATATTTGTATAGAACTCAGAAGAGCTCTACAAGTTTTACGATTAAAAGATGTGCTTCAGAGTTAAAAGAGAGCTGACAAAAGAGGAGTTGAAGGCGAAAAAGAAGAAAGAGAAGGAAAAGAAAAGAGAGAAGCAGAGGAAGGACGAGGAGAAGGCAAAAGAAAAGGAGAGAAACATAAGAGATGAACTCGACAGAAGGGAAAAGGAAGAGAAGAAAAGAAAGAGAAACGAGAAGGAAAAGGAGAAGGAGAAGAAAAAACGAGCCGAGGAAATGAAAATGCATGCAGAGAAAGAGAAGAAAAAACCCAAGGAGAAAGAAAAGAAATTAAGAGACAATAACAAGACCAAGTGCAGAAAATAAATAATCAAAGGAATGAATTAATATTATCTCTCATTTCTGCAGGCACAGATTATTAGATTCTGTCTCCAGCCACGTTGAATACAATTAATTCTACTGCTATCATATCATTCATTTCACTTCATTCATTGCCTTGTGCAATCTAACATTGTTCTTGATAATCTATATGATCTATACCATCAAGTCTCCCAGCACAAAACGACTAAAGAATATTTGCATTTTTCTACAAACTATAACAATTTAATCTAGTTTCAACGAGTAAAACAAGAATCCGATTTAAATTTTGAAAACACGCAACAGGGTTGCACGAGGCGACAATGATATCACAACAAGGATAGACGGAAAAAATGGGTGGGTGTTGGTAACAGATTATTAAGTGAAATATGAAATAATACATGGGATTTATGCAGGAAACTCGTTTCATGGAGCCTGCTAAAATTGTCATAACTCTGAAGACTACACTATACATCATGCTCAAGATTACTATTTACAATTCTAACACTCATCAGCACAGCTTCTTCAAATCATTTAATGGTGAAGGACGAGCAAGATTACAAGTTTCTCGCGTGGGTACGTGAGTGAAACACGATATAATTTGAAATCAACACAAAATTGTGTACAAATAGGAGATGAGCTGACTGTGGGCCCCGTGTGCTGGCAGTCTGCAAGCAGCTTCAATCAATTAAGAACCTGTTTCAGTTCATCTTTTAATTGCTCTCTAATTGATGGATCCACCTGCATTTTGTTCCAGTTTAACTAAAATCATTAGAATGAAACGGACAGAAAAGAAAAGGGAAAATCATGGTTGCTGAGCAAGAGCCAGACACTTTACCTTTTTCAGCAAGGCAGAAAGACCTTGAGGTAGTGCTCGCAAATCCATTGTTGAATCACCAATGCTTGACAATTGAAGCATCATCTTTTGCACGCGCAACTCTTGTAGATGTTCCTCGTAGTTTCTGGAATCATCCTTCCATGAAAAGAAAGTCTCGTCATCCATCCAAGAATTTTCTTTTCCCCTAGCAATCTCCGAGTCCAAAAACCATTTCTTAATCATCTCCTGAGCAGACTTATATGCAAACTGGTAACCAGCAGCATCTCTCACAGTCGTGATCAACGAGTCTTCAACAACTCTCCTGCGTAATCTCTTGTAGAAGAAAAATCGAGAATTTGACCACTCTACAACTTCCCGGACCACGCCTTTTGCAGCCATTCTGAATGAAGTATCATGCAATTCTGCAAATTTAGTAGCTATTTGAGTGTACAATGGCAGAAGTTGCTTCTCACGAGATTTTATTTGTCTCTGCAAATCCTCAACAGTTGCAATTGTTGCTGTGCTTTTTGCTTTATGAAGTTCAGCCTTAAGATTGATTAGCCGTTGGTCGAGCCTACCCATGCATTCCAGCAGCTCTCTAGTTCGAAACTTGATCTCGATCATACCTTCTGGCTCAAGGACATTTCCTTTAGCTGTCCGTTCAGCGTACATTTCAATGTGGTCTGAATTGATCTTACTGTCCACAACTACCCATGCTCCACCACGGAGTTCACCCATCATAGGTATGTATATAAAAACAGGTTGCTTATATGTTCTAAGGTTCTCAACAATCGTTGATCCAGCCTGGAGTATCCCTTCAAAGAGGTCCCTTTGTCCACCTGAAAAGCCTCTCCAGTTGGCAAGAATGAAGAGTGGCAGCTCTTCTCTATTGAAGTCCATCAATGCTTGGGCAGTCTTAGATGCAGAATCAGGAAACCATACCTGCCCAGCCTGAGGAACGACCCTTTCATGAGAATCTAGCTGCCCAGGATCTGCGGGGATTACTTGCATCATAGTTTGAGTCTCAACAGCAACAATTCCTACAGGTATTCCCCCAAGCTTTGCACGTCCTGTTACAACAGTTCTTGCCCAGCCTTCCAGTGTCTCAATAAAACTGTCCTGATCAAACATACCCCCAAGCCATTTCCCACTACCATCTGTTGCACCACAGATAGCTGCACGGGGATCACACGAGGTCTCTGGTAGATATTCAATAGGCCTCTCAGGAGAATCCAACGGAGACAAAATGGGAAGTGGACCGCCGGCATATGATGGAACAAAGCTTAGCCATTTCAAAATAGCTGATATTCCCTCAAGGTCATCTGACACTGTAAGATGAACTACTCCATTTGTTGCCATAATTTTAGGTCCCCCAAGTTGCATGTGGGAGCTGTACACCTCCCTACCCAGAAGCTTGTTCAGTGCAGAGAAACCAGTCAGAATAATCGGCTGATCAAGCCTTTGTATGCACCGCATACCAAGACGGGCAAGATAAGCACCAATGCCAACCGTTCTACCAGTCACATAGGTCAAGGTAAAGGTTTCCTTGTATGCCTTTGAATACGCACTGGCAATGGCTCCACTACCACTTAAGTTTTCAACTCCCAAGCCATCCTCCTTTCCTACAATAGTATTTATTACCCATCGGGATTCTCCACCTGAGAGCTTTAGTTCGTGTGCTATCACAGATGATCCAATGCGTGCATAGTCCTCAGGAGTTAAGTAAACATATTGGAAACCACGTTCTGGGTTTGATTCATCAGACCAGCCAACTTTAAAGCAAGATTTCACTTCCTCGGCTACACCAATACGGGCTCCTGAATTTGCTGCCAGATAAATAAGAGGTAGTTTCTGAGTGCAAGCAACATCAGTTACAGCCTGGAAAAACGCATCCTCTCTGGGGCCGAAAGAACCATTTTTGAAAGTTACATCATTTGATACAATGAGAATGGTTCGTCCAGAAGGGAACTCGGGTGTAGACATTTCCATGCGCCAGGCTACCATGCCAACATCATTAAGTCCAGGCTGTCTCTCAACAGAAACAAGAGGGGTACCCCAGGTGCCTTTCTGTTCAGCAAAAACCAATTCTGCGACTCTGAGGTTGGCTTTATCCTTCGAGTTGTTGATCCGAGAATACTGGGACCAAGATTTGTCCAAAGCTGCCTCAAATGCCTGCAAAGAAAGCTCCCTCCAAATAAATGCACACAAATGGATCGATAATATCTGGAGTATATATAATAAAGATGCAGCTATTTACCAGCGGGAAATCGTAGCAGTAAGTTGTGCTGCTTTTCCGGGCTACAAGACGTTTCTGGTCAAGAATTCCCAAAGGCTTATACTGTGCATTCACAGGCAAACCATGCAAAGGGCCCTGCCCAGAGGTTGAATGATAGACTACACTTTGTTTGCTAGCATCCTCAACTTCTCGATAAATCTGAAGGTGAATATAGAAATAAAGCTACTTCAACACTTATTCACAGATTTTAAGCAACTAGTTTACCAATAAAAAAAGTTTCTACTAGGTCGATATTGGGGGACAGCACTAATAGATTAAATACTAACTTACAGCATAATGCTGCAATGAATAACTAATTGACCCCATGATATATTCATTGTTGAAATAGATTTTGTGAAATATTTCTATTTATTAGTTCCAGTTACATAGAGCAGCAGATCAGACTAATGTCATTAATGATGCAAAGTCCAATCTTACGTACGTGAACGATACACGTGTGACCAGTCACATTAGAAACCACAATCCTCCAAGCTCCATTAGATTCTCCTTCAGATGATATCCAAAGCTTCACTTCCCACTCACAAACACCAAGACGATGCAATTTTACACCAACTGATACATTAATTTCCTGTGCCAGCTCGCTCAAGAGTTTCTCAACTGCAGCTTCTTCATGCCCATCAGGTATATCTGCTCTCCTGCAAATGATTTTGTGAACTTAATAAGGCTGTGAGTTGGTATGCCAACCAGCAAAACAAAATATCAAATATTCTTACTTGTGGTACGGCAGAAGATCATCTATGTGTTGCTCCCTCAAGATATAGAGATACATTTGAGCATGTTCAGATTTGGTAGTAGAATTATGGACATTAAGTTCAAGTTCCTCCATTGCAGAAATTAAGGACCTCAAAATGCTCCTTGAAGTAAAAGACAGAGACCACAGAGATTGAGTTGCTCCCTGGTCCAGTCCTTGATATGTTGTTAGACCTTCATTTGATAGGGGCTGCCTAACAAGAGTTCTGAGAAACATCCTCTGAATGGAAAGAGGTTTGTCTAAAACAGTGTAAAGGTGCCACTGTCGGTCCCGAGAAGGAGTGTACCGTATATCATTATAACCTTTAAGTTTATCCTGTTCAAAGTAAATTTATGGATATATAACCGGACCAGATGAAAATAAGATAGACTTTTATATTACAACCAAAAAGACCGAATAATCAACAAACCAGCTCAAGGTATGTGGACAAAGGAGGTTCCAGGTGACGCAATAGAGGCTCCTCTTCGTAGTAGAGTTTTTCGGCTGACCAATGAAAGGAATGCCTCATGGGGCCTCGCCCTTCATCTCTCTGTATGATACAGCTGATAACCCCCACACCTGCATTTCTTAGACTGGAGCTTACTTCTTTATCTTTCAATATTTTGGCTAACTTGTTGACTCGCTCTTGAGCCTGATCCTCATCACCACTGCAAACAGACATAACGTAATAATAAAAGTCAGAACATAAACCACTGTCTCTCTTTGTCAACCTATTACCAAGTATACGACAACAATACAATTAAATTAACTTATCAAATAGTGCACGCATTTGACAAAAACTTGGCCAATGACACAGAATATGGAATCTAATCTTGGCAACAGTTGCCCTTGGGGTGGAGATGGAATAACATAATTAGATATTCTGATAATTCTGAAGAAAGGGAGTCGAATACTGAAAATTTTCTCATAATGTGATAAAGCATGAGTCAAGTAAACACTCAAAAATTTTTAGGTTCGATTAAAGTATGAAATATCTCTATGTCCAAGGAATCTGTGTAAGATCAGGATGGGAAATCTTACACTGTGGCCTCCCAATTGAAACAAACATACAATAAAAGGTATTCTGCAATCTAGCATAGAAAAACTTCTTCGCATGCATGATACCTGTCCTGAAGTAAACTCATTTGATTGTTGATGCCTGCCAACGCAATATGCATCATGTTACCATAACTAGCTGGCTGAGGAGATCCGTTGGCAACTACACTTTGCAAATTATGTGTTGTTTCCCTCAACGCAGCAGTTAACACAGTTGGCAAGAATTGGAGAGACTTGATGACAACCATTGCTCCCCACTTTCTCTCACTGTGATTAACAACTGATGGCTCATCCAAGATTCGATCCTCAGACCCAATCTTACTATCAACATGCCCTTCCAAGAACTCCCATGATGCTATAAGTCCAAACCTGTGCCATTGCATCCTGACATTCCCCTTCACAAGGTAGGGCTGATGACAGATACTAAATATCAGTCAAGTAATTTCCAAGAGTTTAACTAGCATATAACCGATATTTCGTTGAACAATATTACCTGATATAATCTGCGAACATAAGTTTCAACAACCCGTCGCTGAAGTGTGTGATCACTGTGATCGAAAAGACCAACAAGTGCATCTTCAACTGCTAAAGGAGCACTGACAAGGGCTTCCATTCGTTCGTTTATGGCACTTTTTCTTTTGGGAGTATCCATGTTTTCACCATCTTCAGTGAACATTTCTAACTCCGAAAGACTCCTGGCAATACTGGAACGAAGCTCACTGAGCTTCGTCTGTTCTAGTAGTTGACTTGCCTTTAATGCTAACTGCAAAAGTACACAGAGACTCAGACATGGTTGTACCATTAGATATGAAAGAACATAAACTAGAAGTCAATAATTAAAGAACAAAAGAAGTTAGGAGGTCAAAAACAACCAAACCTTTGATTGAAACTTCATATTCAAAATAAGAATAGGTGATAACCAAGAAACTAAGTGGAATTACCAACCTCAGAGTAGTTTGTGTGGTTGAGTGCAGAAAAACGGATTAGTTGATCTCGGTATGCAGCAGGATTAGGATACACCAGCTGCTCCATGAGACATAGTATCAACTTATTTTTACTCCTAATGCCCTAAAAAATTTCATGGCACAAAAAAAAAAAAAAAAACAACTTAGCAGCAAACATAATAAGAGCAAACCAGGGGTCAGGTGACTAACGTCGCTATACCTGATGGGAAAGTACAATGTCAACAACCTTGGAGAGATCTTTCTTGTAATGAAGTCTTAAGCGTTCAATTACATCTGCCTGAAAAAGAGAGAAACGTTCTGACTGCATATTACACATATTAGCAAAATTTGCACAGGATTTTATTCACTGGGGCATTCAGCGTGTTGTTTATTTATGATTCTGCTTCCAGGACAATATGACAATTTAGTAGGTAGAAATACAGAAATTAACTAGGTGTTACCACTACACATCTTTTGAAGCCACAAAGATATCATATCACAGAGCCAATAGAAGAAATTAGACAAATAAATAACCGACCATTTAAATTGGTCAAATGTGCAAGAAGTTGCACAAGATAAAGACAAGACAATCACTGGATAACAAGAACTCGTGATTAGTATTTGCAGTGGCAATCACCTGGATATTGTCACTAAATAATTCTTCAACTGATAAATATTCTTCAAAAAGTCCCCGAACAATAATGCGGGCATGGCTCTCTCTGCCACCCTCGTATGACTTGACAAGACTCATTAGAGGCTCAACTAATCGTTCTTGGGATCCTTTTTCCTTTTCAGGGTAGGAGTTTAGATGGGCCTGAAGCAGTAAAGGAAACATAAAGCCATCACACGATGTGATTCCTTTTCAACAAAGAAAAAAAGGAACCGTAAAGATTGATGACCCGAGATAAACAACAAACCTCAAGAACACCCCGCAAAATTTTTGCCGGGAAGTCAACACTTGGCATATTGGAGATTCCTTCGTACTCCTTATATTTTGCTTCCAACTGAAAGTTTATATAAACCAAAAGTTGTTGAGATTTCAGATAACATTAAAGAAATAAGACTGTAGCATCTTTGCTGGAATAACCTCATATCTAAGGTCCTTGGCTAGTCGGTTTGCCAGGACAGCAAAGCATTCTTGCCACTGAAGGAAAGGGAGCTCAGGATTGTCCAGGCAACTCAGCAAGTTTTGAACTACCTGAAATGGATATCAATTTAATGAAAGAATTGTGTGAAATTGCATTCAAAGTATTCTTTGTGTACATGGCCACATGGCCAAGTATTACTGAATTAAAGATGGAGATTCTTCCGAAGTCAGTAAATTTCCTTCGGAGATATATAATCGACAAAAAGACACCTACTTCATCAATGTTATGCTCATAACCAGCCAGAATCATCCGAGCTGCATTCAAACTTGCAGCACACCGTTGATGAACTTTTCCAGATATGGCAGTTGGAGGTCCCAAAAGGGGAAAGCTACCGTGAAAAGGTTCTGCTTTTCTTACAGCCGATGGATCATCTAAGTCAAGTCTTGCTATAAGCTCACCAGCCTGCAGAATCATTCATTTCTTAATTGTTGCAGAGGATAGGAACAATCATACCTCTTATAATAATCGTGTGTACCTGCATCGCTTGACCTTCAGACATCTGAAAGTGGATATTTCCAGAAGAAGGTGAGAGAAGGGGCATACACATTTTCATGACCTCAACCTCCGCATAAGGTGTGTCAGCATCAACATGGCAGCCATCTACTACCAGATACCTTAGAAGCTTGCATGGTGTTTCTGCCACTAACTTGGATGGATCGTGGTCATTCTGAATAAGAAGAGAACTGACTAAGTCTCTACTGACAAAACTTAATTTAAATAGGAAAAAATATGAAAATCTTTGGCACCTGAAGTAAGCAAGTCCTTCCATCAATAAGAAGGCGTGTTCCAGCAGCTTCCTCCTCTGCATATATAACATGACTGTTTCCATCCAGCTGCAACAGTAAATCAACCAAACCAAGTAATAGATGAATAGCCATCCATTTATCCATGCATCAACAAAGTAGCAGATAAAATAAATAAATTTTAAACAGCTTCTAATAAGAGAGAAATAAAGGACTAGGCTGAGTAAAAGCTTGCCTGCATCAATAGACCTCCATCGCGTAGAGTATGTATCTCTGCTTCAATCTTTGAGTCATTCATCGTCAGACTGTAGCTTCCAGGACCTCTCCTTACCATATCAATCTAAATAAACCCAAAAAATTAGAAAATTGTTAACATCTAACTGTCATTGCCTTTAAATTCTTCTACCATTTGGACCAAGATTTAAAGGGAGAAACATACAAAATTAAATGGTTTTACATGTCTACACTTACTGTATATTTGCTTCCCTCAATATTTAGTGAAACTTGAGAATTGACCAGTGAAATATGCTGCAAGTAGGGTATCCATTAACTACAGTTACAGTAAGGAAGAACTGAAACCATTTCCTGGTCTAATCTTGTGATACTAAATACCTTGGGAGGAATCTGCCCCTTTTCAAGATAACCGATGTATTCTGAAACCATGGCTGCACTACTAGCAGAAGCTTTCTGAATTCATAAATATGGGAAAACACAATTATGGTAGCATAAATTATAGAGATACCTTTTTTTACAATATAAGCTGTCAGACACATTAGACTAGAAAACTAGCATACTTACATAAAGTGCTCCTCCAACAACGGAAAGATACCAAGGGGGCCTTTCTGCTCTGACTCTCATCGCAATTCTGCTGTCTAACCATCCTGTATGTATTTTATTTTCCTTGTAATCTGAAGCCTGCAAAAACATGTTTTATATAAGTCAACTTCTAATCATGTAAACTATTTTATAATCAATGGGGTGAAATAGGATTTTGATATCAGAAAATCTCACGTGTAAAAGATCAATTGTGTAATCAACATTTGTTCGAATTTCTCCTCTTATTTGAATTTCTTTCAGTCCAAGAACCATATTTGCAATGGCCAAAGCTCTAGACTCTCCAAAAGCAAATACATGTCCTGAGGTAAGATCCAAAAAATTATGGATTGTTAGGAATGAGTTTGCACATGGACTGTCCATTATTCAAATAAAAATACGTTTGGAGGGCTTCAAAAAGTTTCCATGCCACACAAGCTGTATAAACATCAAACTAACAACCTACTCAACTTTGATAAACTGACCTCAGAAGAACATAAGAACATGCATCTATAAAGCAGAAAAAAAAGAAAAAGAAGCAAAAATGTATAAATGGACAGCAGAGCCAGAAGCAATGAAGCACGGATATTGACAAGGGACACATACACATAAAAGTGTAGGACCCGGACAAGTGGACACATGAATCAAAATACTATATAATTATATATTTGTGTATCATATCATATCATTATAATAATTTTATTATTCTTAAAATTAATACTCAATGTTTGATTTTAAATTTTAGTAGTGAAATCATTTGATTTGAGTAGCAACTATTTGTTGTTATAGCATAACTATGCATTGTACTTTATACTACTATTGCCGATGAAATAAAAAAGTTCTTGGCTCAAAAAATGCATTAGATAGATATATAACGCATTTGATGTGAAGTTCATATAAAAATCTGTCACCAAACTTCGACTTACCAAATTGGGAATCTGAAAACTCGTGAATACCACCCCCAGACTGCAATAATGAAGGTTTTAGTCAGATCCAACTTCGAATTTATAGGTTCCTCTGCAAATTAATTTATAACAATTACCTTGACAGAAAAGTAAGCCCAAACATTTGGCTTGCTTTTAAAACTCAGTTCCTGTACAAAGCTATTTGAATTAATACCTGATCATCATCAGTATGCGATCTATAAAACTTAACATAGACTGCTCAAACTGAAAAATTCTGACCTGTACTTTCCCACTCGTAGGCTTAAAACCATCATCAGGATCTTCACTTGTCACACGAACAGCTACACAGTGACCTTTTGGCCTTGTCGACTCGACCTTGTCAAAGTCAAATGGAATAGCAACAACAGATGTTTTTCTCCAAGCATTGTATCCTCCACCATGTTCCATTCCATAAAATCGCCTTATCTCTAAATGTAGTATGCAAAAGAAATACAATTAACAAAGATAAATAATAGAATATAGTTCTAATATTATGAACTTTGAACCAGACCTGGAATTTGCCAGAGAGGGATACCCATCCCAACTGCAACTTGGGCTGCAGGCAAATTTATTTCAGCTATCCACTCAGTGACAGGGTGCTCCACCTAAATTCAACAAGAATATAAGAATTCTCTTTAAAAGAGTCAATGTAACAAAGCATGACAATTCTTATTCTATCTTATCTTCACAAAGTCCTAAACACGTGGTTTTAGTAATCTTAGCCACATAACCTTCACATCTGTAACTCATTACCAATTTGAATCTAGGATGGTTTGCGACTGTTATCGCACATTGGCTTTGATGTTTAATTCAAAAGGAAAATCTTACAAACCTGTAACCGTGGGTTTAGCTCCAAGAAGTAATATTCCCCAGTTTCCATACCGTATAGATACTCAACAGTCGCAGCTCCAACGTAATTCACACGTTTGGCCAATCTTCTAGCAGCCTGCTCAAGCTTCCTTACTGTGTCGAGGGGAGCTACTGTAATAGGGCCCTCTTCAATAATCTAAATAATTTGAATCTCAAGTGAGAAAATGAAGTAATGAGGAATTAAAAATATTATCGGATTTTGCATCAAAGAAAAATATTCCTATCCTTTATAGTGACAATTGAAACAGAAGTAGTAAAAGAGAAAGGCAGTTTATTACTTCTTCCCTCTGTAATTTAGGACACCCCTAAGTCCCAAATTGCTGTTGAATGCAGATTCACAATAGAAGCGAATTTAAACAAACCTTTTGGTGTCGCCTCTGAACACTGCAATCACGGCTATGCAAAGCTGCAACATTGCCATATTGATCACAAAGCAACTGAACTTCTAAATGTCGGCTCTGAGAAACCAAAACATATCTATATTAGAATAAGATATCATCCATGCACTCATTAGAGCATCTAGATCAGAAGGGAAAGTGAATAATCTAACCTGGGAAGCGAGCTTCATTATAAATATGGGGGACCCAGGAACTTCACCCTGAACTTGCTTGAACAAAGCCTTGACTTCATCATCATTATGGACCTGAAAAGCCATGTCATAAACAATGTTATCCTCACAGGTACAAAATGAGAATTAGATAGCTACATTTTTGAACTTGGAAGAGAAATTTTACTATTAGAAACAGTTGACAAGACATACACCGTTTGCATTAGGCACTCAAAAAATTGCATTCAAATATGGCAAGAATTTAACCTTTCTTATGCCTTTGCCACCGCCGCCCCAAGATGCCTTAATCATTGCAGGATAACCCACAACTTGACAACTAGCAATGGCCTCTTCAGTTGTATGAACACATGCTTCATGATAAATGTCATCTGGTATTGTGACCAAACAGCTCTCAGACGGAATTTTCACCTAAAATTGGCATTTGATTAGATGCAAGTCAACCTTCGCAAATTAACAAGTTACAGCTTTATGAGCAGAAGCACTTTACATGAGAACCACTCCATGGAAGAGTGGGCACTTCTGCGGCTTGTGCAATCAACGAGGAGCCAATTTTATCTCCCAGTGCTGCCATTGATGCAGCTGGTGGCCCCAGAAATACAATTCCTTTTACACTCAATGCATCTGGTAGCTCTGGATTCTCTGATGCGTGACCCCAACCAGGCCACACTGCATCAACATACGTTATCTCTGCCATCTAAACAACCAAAAACAACATAGGCCGTGTTTGAGCCACATTTTTTCAAAAAAATACATTTTTTTAACAGTGATTTGATATCATTTCAACCACACATTCTTTAATAAAATAATATTACACGCAAATCTAAAACTTTTCCTTATTTTTTAATCACACATTTCCCATCAATACACTATTCAAAAATGCATTTTCATTCCAATAATGTGGCTCAAACAAGGGCATAGTTTTTTACTTCGGTTTTATGGCAAATATCATCAACATTATGTTCCTTTTCATGTACAAATATATATAGAAGTAGTATGCCTATTTTGATAAAATATATAATCAACCCCTAACATCCCTATTGGGAAAAGAATAAAGGAAAAATAAGAGAGGAAAGTAGGAAGGTTTGTGCCAGAATAGTATTTTACTAGTAATTTCCAAACCTAGCCAATTTACTTTTAATAGATACTTTTTGCCACTTTCCTCAACTATTTTTATCTGCATATAATTCAAGTCTTGAACATGATCCGGAATGGAATCTTTTCTAGATGCTCAACATCATTTGACTGTATTGCTCATCTTTGATGACACAAATAAATTCAAAAATTAGAAAAATAAATATATATGAACTTAACTATATCAACAAACCTCAACAATGAGCTGCACATTAGCATAGTTATTATTATTAGTACCACCAGGAACTTCTACAAATTGATCTGCTATCCTAATATGCTCTGCATTTATTCTCATGTCCTCCGGAGTAGCCATAGCCACCAACAAAATTGCCTTCTCTGTACCAAATGTTTCATAGGCCCACGTTCTAATGCTACGTATAAACTTGACAGCTGCCATTCCATTGTTTGCAATCAAGATACTATGAATTGGCTTCTTGCCTCCAAAAGCATGACAAAATTCAACCACCTCGGATACCAGGCTAGGAGACCTCAGTGGAATAGATCCATTTATGTACCCATTATTATTCTTAAAGCCAGTTATCGGCCTCCTTTGAGCTTCTGACATGTTGGAGTGCCTGCAAATGATCAATGAAACAAACCCAATGTTTAGTGTAGATTCAGAAGAAATCTAACTGACAAAGAACTACTTAATTAAAGAATCTAGTAATAAATTGCATTCCCTTTAAAAACTCATATCATTAGACAAAGATTCACTCAGCTAAAATATCATCACGAATTAAACCAATATTATAAAGCTCAGAAAAGGATCTTTAATTGGGAACTAAACTTTTGCTAAGAGTAAGGGATGCAAAAGATTCGCTCTACTTCTAAAAGGTCAATCATCGCAAAGAGAACAACTTTATCAACTGGCTCGCCATTCATTACAAAACTAACACATGATACTCAGAAAAGCAACTCTAATTATAAATAATATATATATATATAATTAACCAGGAAAAGTATCACTAAAACAGCTATATATTAAAAATCACGAACACACACGAAAAGTAACAAATTCAAGGAGAACGCAAGAATTTCTCGCTCAAACAGACCATAATGGAAAAACAGACGATCAGACCAAGCAAATACCTCCTCCAGACAAGGGCAATAAATTTTTTTCTTCAATCTGATAGGCTTTTCTTGAGAAGTATTTGATTTGCAGAATAGGGAGGCAAATAATCAACAGAATTTGAAATTCAACATGAATGTACAAATCTGAAAATGCAAAATAAAAATTGCTTTGTCTGTTTACTATTAGTAGAAGTAGAAATGTATCTGTGCGTGTAATTTGAAATCAGTAAATTTTGTTTGGATTTTGGTAATGGTTTGGTTCAGATTGGTTGGGGTTCTAAACGGGCTTTTAATGAAAGCCAGCCAGCCAGCCAGCACGTGGTCATAACGCTTGCTCGCTCCCATCTACCTCAATATTTGTCAATCAATTAATTTGAAGATAAGGTAAGATTAAGGCTTTTGGACATTTTTTGTTCGAGCCCATTTTTGGTTTAAAATGCATTTTGAAATAATAGATTTATAGAAAGTGTGATTCTTGTGTAATATTATTTTTATTAAAAATAAGTAATTGAAAAGAAAATAGAAAAAAATATATTTTGAAAATAATGAGAATCAAAAAAGGACTTGAAACGTCAAAGCCTTCTCATTAGATTAAGAAACTATTTTTAATTATATTTGAATAATTTTTTTGTCGAACTAGAAGAATTTTCAAAAGAAAGTACGATCCTATTGATAGGATATTTAATTTTGCTTCTACTTCTTGCGAAAGGATTTTTTGAGATAGTTGCCTTAATTGATGTTTGAAAATTAAATTTTAAAAATAATTCTTTACTGAAAAAAAACTTTTGAAGAAGCAACATTGAGTCCGATTCTTTCAAAAACTCTTATAAAAAAAAAACAATTTTACAAAATTAATTAAATGGGTCAAAATGCAACTTTTCTATCTAATGATTTAAAAACCAAAGAAGAAAATGTGGTTCAAGATTTTTATATAGAGAGATGTTAGCCAATCTTAATCAGTATCTTTTGTTTATAGAATGATTTTCATATTCTCCAGCCAAAAGTTACTCTTTTAATTATTGTTGTCCAAGTAATTGAGAAACTTTTGCGTGTTTTGACCAAGAGTTGGGCGTGTATAGTCGACAAATCTATTTTTATACGGAGCATAACAATTTTATAATAATTTTTGTTGATGTAAAATTTGAGTGCGGCCGTGTTGAATTGAGCATGGTATTGAAAATATATGTTTTCAATATAAGTCTCATCGTACTGAAGAAATAATTCACTTGAATAATTTTAAATTAACTCGAAAAAATAAAAGAAGTAATTTGCTATTTAATTTAATTTTGACAAGACATTATTAGGGTCAACATATGCATAGCAACCATTCACAAATTGATGAGAGTAGGTGACTAACCAGTGTGGGGCGGGTGGGGGTGTGTTATTAATGTGCATGGAAGTTCAATTATGGTTAGGAGTTAGGTGCATCCATGCATTCCCTCACCTCTTGCATCACTTTTTCATTTATTATTATTTTTAAATATTATGATATCACATTTTTATTTTCCATTAATTATATTATTCCCAAAATTTGTTTTTCGTTCTTATCTTTACATACAATGAACCATTTTGAAAAGTATTTCGAGTCAATATTATTTTGAAGAGTATTTTCACTTTACGATGTGATGCAAATTGAACTTTTGTTTGGTCCAACTAAAAAATTGAATTAAGACTAAAGTCAAATGCAAAAATTAATTTTGCAATACAATAACTTTTACTAAAATTTATTAAAAATCTTATTTTTATCTAAATCAAACAGAGACTAATACTACATTAAGTCGATTTGACTATTCGAATTGAAATTTGGAAATTATTTAATAAAGATTGAACCTCAATCTTGAGGGCCCCACAGTCCCGCCCCTGGAGCATTGTGAGGGGGTAAATCGCGGGATGTGCTCCAGCAGGCCAGGGAACAAGAACTTGCTCGTGCACTGATATTCATAAAGAGTCCAATTCTATATCTCAGAAATCGAACACTCACATTGCGGCTACTAGCAAGGTTGAGACTACCTCACTCCTATCTTTGCACCACTGGAATATATCCCGGGGTATGTATTTATAAGTTGTATTAGAATTATAATCCATTTTTTGTTTGTTGTAGTGTATAATCGAGCATAATTTACGAAAAGATAAGATTTTTCTGTTTTTGGTTTCACTAGTAAGTGAGATTTGTTTTCTGTTTTTTGTTTGTTTTCCAAATTTTGACCATTAGTTAAGCAAAAACTTTCTGACTATAATTTCATAAAAATATCAACAAAATTTCAAGAGAAAGTTATTAATTATTGATAATTCAGCAACAGTTTGCTTACTAATTTACATGTGGACAAGGAGAGAGGTCCAAAAAAAGGTTTGAAAAAAGAATAATGTTTTTTGTAGTCACTAACTACCGTAATCATCCTATGTCGCAATTAGTGATTTGTTACAAAACATAATAAAAAAACTACCATATTAATGTATCAAATCACTAAACGCCACATTTATGCCACTATGTCAATGAGGAACTATAAATAGTATTACTAAAAAAAATCAATTTATCAACATGTTTGTCGGTAGACTTCAAATTTACTATTCTGGTAAGGAAAAAATTCGAAAAATCTGATCTCCGGTGTTTTGCCTTAATTACACAAATTTGTTATCATCTTCAATTTGACTGATTACTATGGAATTATTTTAAAAAATTTTAATGAGAAGTAAATATGGGAATAAAATCTTTTGTAAAAGTATTCTTTTTTAGGTTAAGAATTCGAACCAAATTCCATCCAATCCGGCAAAATCCGACCCGATTCACTGTGATCATATAAAATCCCCTTCCATCTCCAATTCTACAACTTTATATCAGCAAAAGTGACTGGTGGTGATTTGCGTCATCATATAATCAACGTTGGACTTCCTCCCTCCAGGACTGATAATCGAAATCCTCTCCAGATTACCCGTAAAATCGTTGCTTTGTTTTACCACAGTGTGTAAGTCATGGTATGGCATCACTAGCAGGGTCGAATCCAGGACTTCGACTCAGTTAGGGCGATCTTCGACCGTCGATAGTCAACGACCATATAGCGATGTCGTTTATTAATATTAAATTAAATAATATTAAAAATATTCGATCTATATGTAAATACACTAAAACTTAAAATTCGTATATTTATATCAATTATAGTTCAAAAAAATCCAAAATAATATAAATTATATGATACATGAGACTTCTTTGTATCATCAGTGCTTAACAAATCGTTTGCTTGACTAAAAGTAGTTGAGGGATTAGATGCACTACTACAAGAACTAGATTGGAATTCAATTGAAAAAATTACTTCATAATCAGTATGAGAATTGAACATTAATTAAAGATTAAACTTAATTAAAATTAATTTTAACATATAAATAAAATTTCAATTTCCAATTCTCAACATCAATTCATCACAAATTATAAATTCTCCAATTTCTCATTTTCAATTTTCATAAATCACATGTTCACATTTCACAATACTCAAATTAATTTTTAATATTACAGTTCACAATTGACATATTCTCAAATTCTCAAATAACACATAAATTAAAACTCAATACTCATAAGTATTAGCTTATAAATTATTATAGCATAAAATATGTAAAACAAAAAAAAAAAAAAAGTCACTGACTCACTTAACATATATTGTTGGAATTGGTTAAAAAATAACCGAAATTTGGTTAAGTGTAAAACTGGAAAAATGAAAATGTGTGACTTTGTGTTAACTTTGGCCAAATATTTGAACTTGAACCAATGGTTAAATTACAAAAGCAAATAGACCAACTTATTCTACTCGTCGTGGTATATTTGGAATCTCGAAACAAACTCCGGATGAATGAGTTTGTCGAACTAGAAGAATTTTCAAAAGAAAGTACGATCCTATTGATAGGATATTTAATTTTGCTTCTACTTTTGCGAAAGGATTTTTTGAGCTAGTTGCCTTAATTGATGTTTGAAAATTAAATTTTAAAAATAATTCTTTACTAAAAAAAAACTTTTGAAGAAGCAACATTGAGTCCAATTCTTTCAAAAACTCTTATTAAAAAAAAAAAGCACTTTTACAAAATTAATTAAATGGGTCAAAATGCAACTTTTCTATCTAATGATTTAAAAACCAAAGAAGAAAATGTGGTTCAAGATTTTTATATTGAGAGATGTTAGCCAATCTTAATCAGTATCTTTTGTTTATAGAATGATTTTCATATTCTCCAGCCAAAAGTTACTCTTTTAATTATTGTTGTCCAAGTAATTGAGAAACTTTTGCGTGTTTTGACCAAGAGTTGGGCTTGTATAGTCGACAAATTTATTTTTATACGGAACATAACAATTTTGTAATACTTTTTGTTGATGTAAAATTTGAGTGCAGCCGTGTTGAATTGAGCATGGTATTGAAAATATATGTTTTCAATATAAGTCTCATCGTACTGAAGAAATAATTCACTTGAATAATTTTAAATTAACTCGAAAAAATAAAAGAAGTAATTTGCTATTTAATTTAATTTTGACAAGACATTATTAGGGTCAACATATGCATAGCAACCATTCACAAATTGATGAGAGTAGGTGACTAACCAGTGTGGGGCGGGTGGGGGTGTGTTATTAATGTGCATGGAAGTTCAATTATGGTTAGGAGTTAGGTGCATCCATGCATTCCCTCACCTCTTGCATCACTTTTTCATTTATTATTATTTTTAAATATTATGATATCACATTTTTATTTTCCATTAATTATATTATTCCCAAAATTTGTTTTTCGTTCTTATCTTTACATACAATGAACCATTTTGAAAAGTATTTCGAGTCAATATTATTTTGAAGAGTATTTTCACTTTACGATGTGATGCAAATTGAACTTTTGTTTGGTCCAACTAAAAAATTGAATTAAGACTAAAGTCAAATGCAAAAATTAATTTTACAATACAATAACTTTTACTAAAATTTATTAAAAATCTTATTTTTATCTAAATCAAACAGAGACTAATACTACATTAAGTCGATTTGACTATTCGAATTGAAATTTGGAAATTATTTAATAAAGATTGAACCTCAATCTTGAGGGCCCCACAGTCCCGCCCCTGGAGCATTGTGAGGGGGTAAATCGCGGGATGTGCTCCAGCAGGCCAGGGAACAAGAACTTGCTCGTGCACTGATATTCATAAAGAGTCCAATTCTATATCTCAGAAATCGAACACTCACATTGCGGCTACTAGCAAGGTTGAGACTACCTCACTTCTGTCCTTTGCACTACTAGATTATGTCCCGAGAGACAATTATTTAATAGACTCTACATATCATATACATAGACTAAGTTAATGACTCAAGTTTGAAAAATTTTGGGACATTATTATAATGTACCTTGTATATTTTTAATTTTAAGAGTTCTATACATATGAAATACAAAAAGAGATAACTACTTTTATAGATAAAGATCGTAACAACGTTTGTTATCTACTTCTACATATGAAAATTACTACTTGTAAAGATAATGACAAATTATTTACACAATATTTTATCTTAACTAATATTTGTTATTATCTCTAACAGTTAACAAATCTAAATAAATCCAAAATATGTTAATTTTCATGTCACGATCTTTTTAAATATCCAAGGTAAAAACAATTTATATTCCTGCATCAGCTTTCAGATTTTTTTATTTTTTATTTTTTTTTATTTTTTAAAACAACCCTTACTTAACCTAATTCCAACCTACCTACTTCCAAATTCAATTGCCCACGTCTTGTCTTTAATAAATAGCCACATAAAGCACCTAACAAATTTATATGGTTCAGAAGAAACCAACAATCGATAATCGCATTTCAAACACATCTATTTTTATGATCACATTGCTATCAAGTAATTTTAAACCAACCTGCTTTAGTACGAGTCTACATTTATGTCCATTGAAATAATTTTATTAGTCGAGAATTCGAATTTTTTGATATTTTATGCACCTATTAATTTGTATTCTACCGTATGTTATTGTTCGATTTTAGTAAGTAAACTAAAGAAATTGATCTCATTATTTGTTCTACTATACGCTTTCCAAAAATTACTAGAAATGGAAAATACGAAAAAAAAAATTATTCGAAAAAAAGAACATTTATTTCTTCGTGAGTAAACTAGAAATTTGACTTTTTGCTTTTCCTTTGATCCCATTCTGAATAAAATAAATAGAGTTAGTTTAAAGAAAAATCAAAATAAATGCACATACGAGATTACTTGTTGGAATCATTTATCAACTTTATTCATTTTTTCTTGAACATAAGACTAGAGATTTCATAATTCTTTGATTGTACAAATGATCACAATCCCAAAAATATACGATCTCTAAATCATAAATAACTTCATGAAATATCAAACTAATTTATCGTCAGAGAAATAATTTTATTATTACATAAAAATTGTTAATCCATATAAAAATCATAAAAAGAAACTAATACTAAACAAACTCAACATTATTCTTAACTAGCCAAAACAAAAATTAAGGTTTTCAAGAACCTAACAGAAATACTAGAATAGGAAAATCAACTGAAAAAATAATCGAGAGCTAAACACTAAAGCTTAGATCAACACATTAAAAAACGAGACAAAAAGAGCTACAATAAAAAGGGTTGATAATGTTGTAGCACATATGTTATAACTTTCAGAGCTTGCTAGTGTCGGAGATGGAGCTGGTCCTCCAATAGGAACGGAGTGGGCTGTCGGTGCTGGAGTCGTTTCTGTAGTTGGTGTTGGTGCGGTGGCGGGAGGATTCGGAGATGTAGGAGTTGGAGGATTAACTGCAAGAGGCAAACTAGTAGTTATGGAATTTGCATAATCATCACTACATGAAAATTATGATCAATCTAGTCTAATATAGCGTGGCCGTGTTTATTCATTAAATTTTGTTTCAACACATAACAAGAACACATTGTTTCGTGCATACAAATGATTTTCTTTAAATATAAGTTTATATGCTACACTTTTAAGTTATCTGTCTTGTTAAAAGCTTATTCCAGCAGCTACTACCTGCCTGCATTGAAGGCCGAAGAATGAAAACTCGTTATAAACATAAAGACGTACCGGGAGATGTACTCGGAGATATGGACACTGCAGGAAAGGGAAAAAAGCTATCAATATAATAAACAAACTTGCTTAACAAACATGTTTGTTATAATAAATAACTAAATTAAAGAATATATATAGGTTTAGAGAGAGACGCACTGTCGCAGTTAAGTGTGGCATGGACGCCACAAGCAGAAGGCAAAGCCATGGCACTAGTCATATTAATCTCAATACCCAAACTGGCACTACTCTTTAGGGCTATACATATACAATTTGAATCAGTGTTTAGAATTGTTTCGAATCCAGAACAACAAGATTTGTCAGGCTTATCTTCGCCCCCGTCGACACTCAAATATGCTAAGCAATCCGCCATGTCATAAATAAGACTCATGCAATCCACGGTAGGTGCGCCTACTGGCCCGGGAGCCTCTGTTGGTGATTGTACGGGTGCGCTGGTATGAATATGACCATGACCTGAGACCACCATTGCCCATGTAGCCAAAATACAAGAGACTACACAAAAAAACTTCAACATTTTTTTCAATCTTTCAGATTTCTGTTTTAGATTTATTTTTTTTTTCTTTTGAGATTTTGTGATTAGAGAAGTTCACTAACCTAACTATTGTCTTGAATTTGTTTAGAGTTTATATATATATTATTTAAATCCCTAAAATATCTCAAGATCAGTTAAGGTGGTTAAATGTGATGTGTATGTGATTAACTATATTTCAATCTTCAAAGTCATTGAAAAATGGGAGAGTTCTATTGCTATTGCAATTCTATCCAAAGGTATATTTGGATGTGATTAATTACATTTAATCTCCTAATTATGCACTTCTTCACGTGTTTACGAAATGTGTAAAAAAAAAAAAGTGATTAGTTTATAATTAATTTTATACTTCAAACTATAAGGCCTCCAAAAATTCAACTAATTTTTAAAATGTGACACATTAAAAAAAATATTAATAATTCTTTATTTAATTGCACTTTGAAGAGGGATGATGATTTCTCCTAAATCATCAGATTCGGATTACATCCCACAAGAAAATTAACCAAATTGAATGTTCATTATATCGAATTTGGTTTGGTTCTCGTTTAGACAACCAAGCCATGTTATACCTATAAAGGGATGGGGGCGTGGGCTTTTGAAAAATGGGCCTTGAGAAAGTTGATAAAAGCCCATCTGTGAGAAAGAATGGGCTTTTAAGTTTATAAAAGGGAAAAAATCATATCTCAGCTATTAAGTATACACCAAATCAAATCTCAGAGACTAAGTTTCAAAATGCAAAAGTCAGGTTTTTATTTTCATTTTTTTTAGTTTTAAATAATAATATTATCAAATTAAATTAATAAATGCGTACCCACCTTAACCGCCCTCATCCCACTCACTGGCATCCACTCGCCACCAACATCCCTCCAACCTCCATCTCGTCGATGACTTCTTCAACGGCAAACTGATCGTTCTTAATTGGTCACTGAGTGATGATCAATTCTTTGGTGCTGAGACCGAGCAGTAATAGTATAATCTAAAACTTTTTTATTGAAAATTGTAAAATAGCTCCTGATGTAATTTATAGAGCAGTTAATTGAGCAAATAATTTTAATTCTCAACTCCGATATTTGATTATTTGAATTTGTGACCAGTTTGGATAACTAAGGTTGGAGAAATCAATAGCATTCGACTAGATTCTTGAATTTGTGACGTGTTTACTTTGACGTGTGACCTATAATATGATCCAATAGCTTGTGACTATATTTCTTGGATCTGGAATTTGTGACCTAAGCCAATGACCTGTGACCAAATCTCTTGTATGTGTGACCTGTGCACTTGATATGTGACTTGCGACTTAATTCAACAGCCTATGAACAAATTTCTTGGATTTGTGGCCAAATCTCTTGAATCTGTTACCCGTGTAGTACACTCTTGACTTGATCCAATGGTTGGTGAACAAATCTCTTCGATCTGCATCCTAAGCCAATGGTTTGTGACCAAATCTCTTGAACATGTGACCTGTGACCTATGCACTTGATTTGTGACCTACGACCTGATTCAACCGCCTATGAACAAATCTCTTGAATCCATCACCCGTGAAGCATATACTTTGACACGTGACCTTTTATATGTGACCTTGACTTGATCTAATGGCAGATGAACAAATCTCTTCAATCTGTGTCTTAATCCAATAGCTCGTGACCAAATTTGTTGTATCTGTGACCCTAACCTAAGCATTTTGACATATGACCCGTGTACTTTGATAGGTCACATGTTCAAGATATTCGGTCACAAAAACTCAGATTATGACTTACACACCTTTGTCATCACCACCAGTGGACATTGATCCACCGCTAACATTCCACCACAATCACCACAAACAGACTACCACCATCACCACTAGCAACCCAACAACTAAGAAAATTACCAGCAACAAAACATCATAAAAACCACTACAAAATTGTCACCAAACCTTCACAACCACCACTTCGAGTACCTCATCCCATGTCCCCAAAACCAAGAACATCGCCTGCAACAACAAAACCACTATCCCCTGCAACACTACCAAAGAAACTACTGCTTTTATTAACACATGAATGATCGCCGCCATCATCACCCACAAACCACCACCAACCACATCCACCACCATCGTTTTCATAACACCAACAATAATTAGAAGAAAAAAAAACCCAGAATAACCCCGTATCCGTAACCAATCGCCTCGATTCAAGGTGAGCCTCTATAAGCGGTGACAGTGATCTGAACATCAATCTAAATAATCCCATACCCTAACCTGTAGATGGTTACCTCGATTTGAGCACTGTTGTGCTCGACCTTTCATCGGAGCTCCGATGATGAGTTGCAAGAATAGGAGAGTGAGAGATGAAAGAGAGAAAGTGCGAGTGAGAGATGAGACCACAGAGACTACAGAGGAAAGAGACTGCAATTCTTAGAGAGAGTGTGTGTGGAGTGAGAGGCGCGAGGAAAGAGATTTCAATTTTGGGTTTTATTAATACCTGATTTATGCTCAAATAAACTTAATATTTGATTTTAGAATTATCATCTTTAAATACCTGTAATGTTGTAATTTCCTCTTTAGAAAATTATAACAAGGTCAGAATAAAATAGAAGCAAGTTACGAATCCAAATTGGGCCAGCTAGGCCACGAATTACTCATTTTTAGGTTTACATCTTTATGTGTTGACTATTGTATTTGTTAGTATTTATATATTTTGATATGTAGTTAGAAATAATTGCATTGTATATATAGTGAAGCTTCTATAAAGCTTGAATAATTAATTGCTTATATATCTATTGAAAGTTCTATGAACCTCAAATTATTAATTTAATATTAATAATGTTATAAATTTATTCTTGTATCAAATTTTATCTATAAATTCATACAAGTCCTTCAAGTTTCTACCTACAATTTTGATTTCTCTCGTGTTAGTTTTTCAAATGGATATTTTCAGCATCGTGTATATTCGATGGAGATTTTACAATTGTCTAACCAGATTATTAAAAAGAGAATTTGCAATTATAGAAAATTTTATGGAGAGTATAAAGTTTGACCTCTAATATGTTAACTTAATATGATGAAGAAAACGTTAATAAAATGTAGACCAACTTCAATAATCAAGCTCTTTCTAATCACAATTTACAAATGATCGTACCTTGAGGAATTGTGTTTTTTTCAATAAAATTTTAAGCCAACTAAGGTTTTTGAAGTCACATCGAGAACCATATATTTGAATAAAAATATTGTTAATTTCGATGTAGACAAAATATAGCAAATACTCCAACCAATTACATCTAAGCAAGAAAGTGAAAGACAAAAACAATAAATGAAAAAAGAAAAAAAGAAGAAATATAGGAAAAAGAACTCTTTAAAAGTAGAAAGGGAACAAAAAATGGCCAAGAGAAGTGGGCATTCAAGCCCAAACAAGAAAGGAACCCTAAAATTCCAACCCAATAAAATGCAGTGGTGTTGACGTTAACGACAAATGCTTGCTTTGGTGTAAAGTTGGAAAATAGTTATAATTTATTAATTTTTGACCCTATTCTTTTGCCAATGTCTTTTTCCATTCATTGTTTGCCAAAACAATTAGTGGAAAAATAATTTGATGGAAAACTACAAAAATATGTTTTTCTTTTTTGATGAAAAAATATACCCCATATAGTCATTGTGTCCTTTCTTATTTTGGTTTCATGTGAATTGTTTACGTTTTTATTCACATTGTTATTATTCTTGAAAAATTATAAGTAGAACGAGGAGTTATATATTTGTATTAGAAGATGTCATCTTATGTGATTTGAGCTTTACGTATTCTTTCTTTTTCTTCAATGGTTTTAATTTCAACATTCATTGTATAAAAGTTTATTGTGTATAAACTTTAATGGATAGTCCGTGTGGCACCCGAGATCTCACGCTTTCAGCAACCTTCTCCTCTTGATTAAGTTGACATGTTCGAAACAATCAGCACATATGCATGCTTATAAGTAGGATATTGCAAAATACCTGCATACGGTGACATCATTGAACTCTTTAGTAACATATATCATATGTCTAATTGTTGACGATCTTGTCGTGTCATATGGGGAGGGGAGTATGCTTGATATGAGACATCAAAACCAAACAAATGATATTTTTCTCATAAACATAGGTTCTATTAAACAAATGGAATATATCTCAATTCAAAAAGAAAAAAAAAATTCATAAACTTTTGGATATGTTTTTAATTCTTGAAAAGGTTTATATTTTATATATTTTTTGGTGAGTACTAGACACTTGTTTTTGTACGTACCCTTATTTGGAACCTAGTGGAATGCTATGGCCATTTATGGGCTAGCCTGTCTCGAACCAGGAAGATGATTGCACCATTTGGATCCCACCATACTTTGCATCAATGAGCCTTATTGCCAGCTATGATGGACCCTTTAGTCCATGATATGACATTCATCATTATATGAATGTTTGTCGTGGTTTTTTCTTAAGGTCTTGGGATCATTAATTTGAGTCTCTTCAGGGCCAATGAGGTAAGTATCCTACAGTAAATTTCAGTCCCTTCACTATGTATAAGTTGAACATATTGGATTGTATAATAGTTAATATTTTAATTTTCGTCCAACAAAAAATCAATATTGGCTAAACTGACTTATCCAAATAATAATGGAATGCAACATGCCCTTATATTTATTTATGGTTTAAATTCAATATCGTACCTTCATATTCATTAACATATCCTATGAGATCATTGAGAAATAATTTTAATTAAAGAATGGAGATTCAGCCAGGAAGATGCTTACTTAAAGATCAATTATATATTAAAAAATTAATACTTAAATATATGGAATCTGATTGGTCAACAAATCTTGGATATTTGTTTTTGAAAGGGGTAAATCCACTAATCTCAAATTTTATACTTAGTATCATAATGATCAATCAATTTGATTTGGTTTCACTATGGCCACCTAACTTTATGTTTAGTGTCACCGTGACCATTCAATTTAATTTTATTTCACAATGGTCACTCAATTTCATATAACGTTTACACCATGGCCACTCAACTTCTTTTCACCATTTTTATTAATTTTAAAAATGGTAAAATGGTAACTTTTTACTTTATATATA